GGCGAAGCACTGTAGCAAAAAGGGCGCAAAACACCAGCACTGAAACACCGCCCAGACCAAAACAAACTCCACGGCGCATGCGCATAACACGCTGGCCGAACCGCACACCCTCCCTGCGGGAAGGCGCCAGCCAGGACTACTGCACGAGAAAAGTAGCCAAAAGAGGAAGCAGGAACAATAAAACCGGCCAAAAAGCAAAGAGCCCAGCCCAACCGGGCGAGCCCAACCGGGCGACAAGTAGCCCAACCGGGCGACAAGCCCAACCGGGCGACAAGCAGCCCAACCGGGCGACAAGCAGCCCAACCGGGCGACAAGCAGCCCAACAGGGCGACAAGCAGCCCAACAGGGCGACAAGCAGCCCAACCGGGCGACAAGCAGCCCAACAGGGCGACAAGCAGCCCAACAGGGCGACAAGTAGCCCAACAGGGCGACAAGGACGAGGAGCCGACAGACGTTCCAATAATGCGGGAAGTAGCGAAAAACCTTCCCGTACCCTCGAGAACACAGAAGCCAACACTAGTCCCGAAGGCACACGAAGGCGCAGGCGCACCCGAGATCAGAAGTCACGCAGAACCCCATCGAACGGGGAAACATGACGAAAACACCGTCCCAAAAAGGGGTGGGAGGAAACATCCACCCACAGGACGGAACCAACCGACTCAAAGGCCAAGGAACCGAGCCCGGGGAGGGGCCGACGCCCAACAGCACGTACGGCGAGTGGGGAGGAAAGACCCCACTCCGCGTAACCACAAGCCCCGCCTAGAGGGGGATAAAAACCCCCACGGGGTCCAACGGGGCCAAGGCCCCCCAAGTCAGCCCCTCCCCAGCCCCGGGAACCTACACGACAGGCCCCGGGGCCGAGCCGTTCCCCCAAAGCCCCGGCCGTACCAGAAAACCGGGGCAGCCGTGAAAACACTAAGGAAGGGAGCCCACTGGCAGACTCATACAACACGGCTGGAGGAACAGGCTCAAATGCCCCCGTCACTACCCCGGAAGGGGAATTCCCCGAGACTGCCCGAGTCTCAACACCATCAAAAACCCCGCCCCGAACCTACAGACGGTAAGGAACCGGATGCAGGCAGGAAGGGTGATCCAGGGGAAAGACAAGGGGGCGTGGATGGAACCGAAGCAACCAACACCCCCAAGTCCCAAAACGAACTACAACGGGGCAGCCCCGGGGCTCCCGGGGAGGAAACCACGAGAACGTTGCCACCACCAAGGCTCAAGTGCAACGCCCCTGCTGCCCGCACCCGCTTTGTTAGCACAACTGGGTAACCGAGCCACAACGAGCAACCAAACTCGCAGGACTCCGGGTCGAAGGTGTCACCGACCCCACAGGCAGCAGACGGAGGCAAAACAGAGAGTCACCCAGAGACAAAGGGTGAGAGCAACCCTCAAACTCGCTGGAAGCGAGGGGGGGACTCTGGGGTCACATCCATCGGACCCGCGCGCCCCCAGGGGTTTCCCAGGGTCCCGAGCGTTTACTATAAGAGGACTCGCGCTCAGGTAATCCCAGGCAGGGTACTGCTAACCGGCACCCAAAGCTACCAAACAACTTTCTAAGAGCTGAACCCCCGGGACGTGTACACTCACGGGGACCTAGCAGGGGTACCACCAGAAAATACTCAGAACACAAGGGACACAAGGGGCAAGAACGAAGGCAGACCCCCCCACCAGGTAGATAAACAAAAAGAAAAAGAAAACCCCGCAAGAGGACAGCGTACCCAAGCGGAACAGAGCCGGCCGCTATGATTGGTAAAGACAAGCTGCACAGTACCCTGCGCCCCACCAGTGCAAAAACTGCCCCTTACTCTAAGGCGAACAAGGGAGACAGAACACCCGAGCACACAAAGAGCGGCCGAAAACCAAGCAGTAAACGGCCAAGCAGGGGCAGGACCCAAGGAACTTGTGGAAGGTGGCCCCAAGCCCCAAGGGCAGTACTTACAGGGCACCTAGGGAAGGGAACCCTAGGCGCATGCAGCCCGAGTACTGAAGAATCACTCCCGGCTCACGCACCACCTAGAAAACAGACACCACACTCTAGGTACAGTGCTGAAACAACCACTGGAGCCGGAGCACATAACCATTGCCTATAGCATCAGCCGAAGAACTGATGGGTGGATAGCCGGCGTGGGAGGTCTGGGGCTCCCCCTTCCCCCTCCCGGGGAGGGGGGAGCTGCGCAGACAGCGGCGCGGTGACGTATGACGTCATACTAGTTTCCTTGTTTTCTGTTGAAGAGTTCTATCCACTAGTTCGGCTTTAGGTAGCAATTTTCACCAGAATAGGGGTTTGTTTTGGAATGCTTACCTTTCTGGATGCTTGACCCGGTCGATGGCAGACATAGAATGCTTCCAACCACACGGGGGTTTCTATAGGCCATTGCTCCCCTTGCCTCTCTGAGGGGGCCAGGTTCTGGCTCGTGGTCCCCGGTAGGCCCTAGAACTCCATACACATGACTGATGCCAAAGTCTGACATTAGCATATCAGCCGGTAAAGCTCCGGGGAGCCGACGGGGCTCCCCCCAGAAAAACATTAGATAGTTCTTCATAGAATACAAAATCATAATTTTTCATGTTTTCCTCTAATTTAAAAGTACAGTATTAAATTACATTTAAATTATTAGAATTTAAATAAATTAAAATAGTAATGGTGAGGTTACATAGTTAATTTTTAAAAAATACTTAACACTTGCACTGCACAGATCAGGGTCACTCCCATGAGTAACATTAATAATATCTGCCCAATGCAGAACACTCCAATATGTACTGAATTAACACACAGTAAGTTTTTTACAGAACTTAAGATATGAAAGGTTGCTTATGTTGTCAACAGATAGCTCTGGAGTTCAAAATAATTACTGAAAATAAATCCAACTTTCTGAGGTTGACTTTACAAATGGCCAAGGTACTGATTCAGTCAATTCTGGTTACTGATGTTTTTTCTTTTTTCTTACCCACTAATTGGCACTGCAGAATTTGGCTAAAATTGCTAACCCTCTTATGTATTTACAGTTTAACGTTTTCTGCCTATAACATATTCCAATCCTTACTTTCAGGTTACTAACATCATTGGTATCGCATTATTAAAAAAAACTGAGGCACAATCATGATTAATCTGTCACTATTCAGACCCTTGTTCATGTTTACATGACTAAATATAACCACTGAGTTAAACACACCTAAAGAAACCAACAACTTGTATAAGTTATTGTTATATTATTATTTAATTACAAACAATTTGTCAACCTATCCTCCTATTTAGACAGCACTTTTTGTAACTATGTAGACCATTGTACAAATTAACATAATGGACAATTAGATAGTAGAATTTTGTACTATTCACTTTATAGAGTACTGAACAATAAATCTAAAACCAAACTTATATACTCCAAGGTCTAGTATAGCACATATATGTACTATATTAGGTTTCACATAGCATGTATTAGGCCTAGAATGTTAGGTTAGGTTAGGTTTTCAAATGCCTTGAAATCAAATTTTCAAATCCAAATGCCTCCCAACACCTCAAACCAATTCTATTTGCTGACGACACAACCTTCATTTACTCCAGTCCTGATCCCCTTGCTCTAAATGCCACAGTAAATACTGAGCTAAATAAAGTCCATCTTTGGCTAACTGCCTACAAACTCACCCTTAACATTGACAAAACTTTCTATATTCTGTTTGGCAATAAATCCTCTAATCAAATAAATCTCAAAATAAACAATACCCAAATTTGTAACAAATTAGATGGCAAATTCCTTGGCATTCTCATTGACCACAAGCTGAATTTCCAGGGACACATTCTAAATATATCAAAAAAAGTTTCAAAAACTGTTGGCATTCTTTCTAAGATCAGATATTATGTACCCCGCCCTGCCCTGGTGACTCTCTATTACTCCCTCATCTATCCATATCTCAACTATGGTATTTGTGCTTGGGGTTCTACTACCCAAAATCATTTACGTCCTCTAATTACTCAACACAAAGCTGCTATTAGGACAATATCCAACTCTGGCCCCAGACATCACTCGGTACCCCTACTCAAATCTCTGAATATGTTAGACATTAAGTCACTGCACATTCTCTCATGTGTATTATACATATATAAAACGCTAAACTGTAATGCCAATCCTGACCTCAAAAGCTTCATAGAAGGTTGTAACAGAACCCATGAGCACCACACCAGAAATAAATACAGTTTTGATATTCCTAGAGTACGACTTAATCAAACTAGAAATGCTCTACAAATCAAGGGACCCAGATTATGGAATGACCTTCCCAACCATGTTAAAGACTGTACCTCTCAACCAGTTTAAGATAAAAACGAAGCTATACCTAATAAATTCCCTGTAACCTACCTTACCCCTCTATTGTCAACCAATGTCTGTTTTTTTTAAAGAGCGCTGTTTGTCGACAGAATTGTATTTGTGCTGCTTTTTCAGCTATGTTTTCATTTTACTCTTTATGCTCAATTAGTATTAAGCTTTAGTCATTTAAGTTTTTCATGCCCGAAACGCTTTGCGTAATAGTGGCTTTAGGCATTGTATGTACTAGCCCTAAGTATAAATCCATCACTCTTTGTAAAATCTCTTGTATGTATGTACCTTACCTAAATAAACATTTGATTTGATTTGATTTGATTGTTTTGTTAGCAGCAAATACAAAACCTTTTTCAGATTGTCCAAATTCAATAGTACCAAATGCTACTATGTAATTATCCATTACGTCAGTATATGTACGGTGGTCCACATTGTTACTGTACTGTACTATCTAAACAGGAGGATGGGCTGCAGTTTGTTCAGTAGTAAGGTGGATTAACTCCTAATATAAATTAAAAGATGCATAAATATTTTAAATAATAGGTTTTTTGCTCATATGCTTTTAATTTATTACATTATGGTCTGTATGTGGTGATACTCTACTGATCCTTATAGAAAAAAGTCCAAATACCATCATTGTTAACTTTCACTCACCAATTTATGATAAAATTTATACACATCTTAAAAGTTTAAATTTTATTTCAAATGTAAATTATACATTTGGAAACAAAAATCAAATTTTGCAAAACATAACAGAATTACTATAAAAAAATTATAAAAAGAATTTAGTGATACAACTTTTAGAACATAAAACTACTCTTATGTATTTTCTTTGCTCAAATATAATTTTGTTTCAAACGATACTGTTTACCTTGGTCCTTAAGAATGGAGCAGGGCAGTGTCTATATTTTTACCCATAATCATAAGAGGAGTTAAAATGCAGTGTATATCAAATATTATGTAAACATTATCAATAAGGCAACCAATAATTATAAATATTGTATATGCTCATTGTCTCAAATTAAGTACTGTACTGTACATGTAAATTGCTTTTACATCTGGTTTAGAGGTTCAACTCCGAGAATATTCATGCCGGCAGCAAGAGTATATCGTGCTGCCATGAAGAGTGCAAGTCTAGCTTCTGCAACTTCAATCGGAGCTCCTTTAACATTCAAGTGTTTCAGGGCATTGTTGATGGACCCGCTGTAATTATCAAATAATCATATAAGTAAGGATTAGTACTGATAAGTTATAACATTATATTCAGTTGATGATAAAAAAAAAAACAGGTCTCAAAAGATTTAGAAGTGATTTTGTACTGTAAATCTAGTGACAAAAAACCAGCGTTGAATGTAATGAAACGCCATTCTCTGGGTGAGACTCGGAGGCTCCCCGGAGCTATCCAGGCTGATATGCTAATGTCAGACTTTGGCATCAATCATGTGTATGGAGTTCTGTGGGCCTACCGAGGACCATGAGCCAGAACCTGGTCCCCCTCACAGAGGCACAAGGAGCAATGGCCTATAGATCCCACCCCCCGTGTGTTTGGAAGCATTCCATGTCTGCCATCGACCAGGTGAGGCACCCAGAAAGGTAGGCGTCCCCAAAACAAAACCCCTATTCAGTTGAAAATTGCTACAAAAAGCCGAACAAGGGGATAGAACTCCCGAAACAGAAATGAGCAAATGAGTATGAAGTCACATGTCGTCGCGCCACTGTCTGTGCAGCTCCCCCTCCCCGGGAGGGGGAATGGGGAGCACCAGACCCCCGCACCAGCCATCCACAGCCCAGTTCTGAGGCTGGATATCAAAAACACGTGAAAAAACGCCGACCGGAGGGAGGGAGGGTTGCCGGAGAGCCTCTGGGTCCCACCCAGAAAATGGCATTTCATTACATTCAACGCTGGTTTTCTGGGGGGAGCCCCGTTGGTTACCTAAAGATGAAAACAAGAGGGACCTAACCCGGGAGGCGGAAGTCGCTCACTCCCAAATACGAAGCGGAGACAAAAGACAGCAAGTGCCAACCCAAGGCCATACAGGCCCGACAAGGCCCAGGAACATCAATGAAGGAGCACATGGCCAACCTACGAATGACGTGAGCACGGGGATAGACAGCAGGCTGGCAGGACCGAACCATCCTGCGGACGACTTGAGAGAACCGCACCCTGGAACAGAGAAGAAGGGAAATCGGTACAACCCAAAGCGTGACTGGGGTCACGCAGCTGTGGCACGCAAAGAACGGTGAAACACCGCAACCGAACACAACACATGATGCACCCCCGGCCAGACCAACCAAGCATCAACAACCCAAGGACCCCTCTGGAAAGCATCCGCGTTAGTCATCGCCAGAAAAGGAGACGGCTGCAAGTGAACTAACCTCCCAGGAGAACCAAAAGAGCCGAAACCCCGGCACTGGAGGAGAGCATGAAGCACCCCGACCCAACCCCCAGAGGCCACAGCCAACAAGAAAAGAGCCTCGGAAAACAATCCAGAACCGAAGGGGTCACAACATACTGAGGAGAAGAGAAGAGAGCACCCAATCCAAGAGCCAGGAAGCGGCGCAAGAGCAGGCCAAAGGTGAATCATGTGAGAGACAGCTCGCGAATTGGTGCAGAGGGAACACCAAAATCGAAGCAACCCGGAGCGGCTCCGCCAGCGCCTCACGAGACAAGGCAACAGTATGTGGCAAGATGACGGCCTTGGACCCCCACAAGAGAAGGACAAGACCACGCCAACAAAATGTGGCAAACCCACTAAGTGACAAAAAGAAAAAAAGAAGGACCACCAAAAAACCCTACACCACCGCCGAGACGAAGCCCACAGGTGGAACACCATCAACGAAGCTACCTGATCACCAACAGATAGTGAGAGACTCAAGGCAGAAACGAACCAGCCCCCGCCATGGACCGATCAAGCATAGGAAGAAGTGGAGTCGTGGGAAAACCTCGGGTGCGAACAACGAGCAAGCAGAGCCGGAAACCCAAGCTGGCAAGGAACCAGAGGGAACGTCTGCCATACAGAAAACTTCCCAGTGCCAGCGAGGTCTCCAGGAGATCGGAAACACTGTGGTTCTGATGCGAGACTCATGAGAAGTGACACCGCGAGATCATGAAAATGATAACTGGCAGGGCAAACCAGGAGACCAGGAACCCAAACCCGGCAAGCCGGGAAAGAACCAACCCGGGCGAGCAGAAACGCCCCGTCCGGGAGTAACCCCTTAGGATCCCTGAAGGACCAACAAGTCCGACAACTGATGACAACTAGAAGCCGCCAGCAGAAAAATGCCAAAACACAGATGCCGCAAACAGCAAGGACAAAATGGCGATGAAAAACGAAGGGCCAGGGGCCCAGGCTGAGGCCAACGAGGAAGCTAGCACCGCAAACCGAAATGCAAAGCAAAAAGCAGGGACACCGCAACCCCACAGGAGCGGTGAACGCAGCCCCAAAACCTAGCACCTCCCGGCCCAACAAAAAGAAACTGCAGGAGAGGAAGAACGGAAGCTACATCTCTCTGCATACAGGGCAACCCAGAAACTGGAAGCGCCAAACAAGAAGATGAAAACTCAGGACCAGAACCTAACACGGGCGGTGCAAAAGAAGGGAACTGAGCATGGACAAAGTCCAAACTAGCATCAGTAGAGCCAAGAAGCACATACTAAAGCACACAACAATGTGTAGGAGAGAATGAGAAAAAATGGAAAAATGCAAGAAAAAGACCAGAAAAACACCCCAAGCTGTTTTGACCTACCACACAGAGAGAAGCCAATGTATATGGAAGGTCTCAGCCAGGCACTGCACGACAATCAAGGAACGAGTGTCCTCGTTCCGTGCTCCACCGTGTAACAAATAACACAGACAAACAAGGAAGGCCACAGGAAGAAGGCCACAAAACCATGAAGGCTCATAAATGCACAGTTGCACCCGAGACCAAAGGTCGTGCAGAATCCTGATACGAGGGGAACATGACCCCGACATGACGGAGAGGTCCTGTCCTAGAGAAGAAGGGTAAGAAAACGAAGAGTACCAACCGATAGGACGGAACCGGCGGACCCAAAGGGACAAGAAACCGAACCCGGGGAGGGGCCGACACCCAACAACTCGTACGCAGAGGGGGGAAAGGAAAAACCCTACTCCCCGTAACCGCAATCCCCACACAGAGGGTAGAAAAAACCACGGCATGGGTCCAACGGGGCCCGAGGCCCCCACCAAGTCTGCCCCTCCCCCAGCACCGGGAACCTCCATGGCAGGCCCTGGGGCCGTGCCGTTTCCCCAAAGCCCCCAGCCTCACAAGAAAAAGCCGAGGCAGAGGGATAAATACTAAAAACGGGAGCCCACTGGCAGACTCATACAACACGGCTGGACGAACAGGCTCGAGTGCCTCCGTCGCTACCTCAGAAGGGAAAATCCTCGAGACCGCCAGAGTCTCAAGACCATCGAATCCCCGCCCTGACCCCGAACCCACAGACGGTTAGGATCCCGATGCAGGGAAAAGGGGGGGGGGGGGGAAAGGAAACCAGACTAAACCACAACAGGGGAAAGACAAGGGGGCGCGGACGGAAACAAAACCGAAGCGACCAACACCCCCCAAGCCCCGGACACAACAACCAAAACGGGGGCAGCCTCGGGACTTCCAGGGAGCTAACAACCTAGCGCGTTGCAACCACCTGAACCCAATGTGCAACGCTCGTGCTGCCTGCACCCGTATAGTCAGCATAAGACTGGGTAATGGAGTTACAAACAAGCAACAAAACTTGCAGGACTCCGGGTTGAAGGTGCCACCGACCTAACAGGCAGTAGACTGAGGCAAAAACAGTGAGAGTCACCCTGAGACAAGGGGACAGAGCAACCCTCGAACTCGCACAAAGCGAGGGGGGTGGGGGGGGGACTCAGGGGTCACATCCATCAGACCCCACGCACCCACGTGGGAATTCCCAGGGTCCTGAGACGGAACTCATGCTTAGGGAAGCCCAGACAGGGTACTGCTAACCGGCGCTCAAGTCTACCAAACAACTTTCCAAGAGCTGAACCCCCCGGGACATGAACACTCATGGGGACCTAGCATGGGGTACTACCTGAAGAGAATGTAGTACCCAGGAACCGTACTCAGGGAGCAACCAAAGCAGGCCCCCCACCAGGCAGGAAAACAAAAAGAGAAAGAAAACCCTGCAAGAGGACAGCGTACCCAGGCGGAACAGAGCTGGCCGCTATGATTGGTAAAAACAAGCTTTGCAGTACCCTGCACCCCTTACCAATGCAAATTGCCCCTTACCCTAAGGTAAACATGGGAGACAAAACAGCCTAGCACACAAAGGGCAGCCAAAAACCGAGCAGTAAATGGCCTAGCAGAGGCAGAACCCAAGGAACTTGTGGAAGGTGGCCCCAAGGGCAGTACTTACAGGACACCTAGGGAAGGGACCCCTAGGCGCATGCAGCCCGAGTACTGAAGAATCACTCCTGGCTCGTGCACCACCTAGAAAACAGACACCACACACAGGGCAGTGCTGAAACAATCACTGGAGCCACAGCACACGACATGTGGTTACCCCGCTGGTGGTCCTTCCCATATAGTCCAGATAATCGAGTGGAGACAGCACTCATTTTCATCAAAGGCAAAGGTGGTGGCAGCATTAAGTAGTTTAACTTAATTTTTAATTAAATCAAAATTTATAAAAACTCGCTTGGTGGCGGTATCAGTGGTGATAGCCAGGTGGGTGGTGTTATAGATGGTGAAATAACAAAAGTAAATTGGTATAAATAAAGAAGACATAATAAATACATTATAATATTAGCTATATTAGTCTGGGGCTTCAGTCAAGTGGAGTTCTGCCTACCGGGAATTACGAGCCAGAACTTGGCTCTCAGAGTGGCGAAGAGAGCAATGGTCTATGAAAACTCAACTCTGAGAATATATTCATGCCTGCCATCGACCGGGGCACCCAGAAAGGTAGGCAACATACCCACCCAGAGGGAGGGAGCGGTGCCAGGGAGCCTCCGAGGCTCACCCAGAAAATGGCATTTCATTACATTCAACGCTGGTTTTCTGTAGGGAGGCCCGTCGGCTCCCTGGAGCTAGAGACCCAAAATTTAAGTAAAAGAGGGACTTATATGGGAGGCAGCAGCACCGCATGCCTCATGACAAAGATGACACAACTGGCTGCAACTGACAGCCCAAGGCCACTCAAGACTGCTGAGGGCCCGGAACGTTCACAAGATAACAGACGGCCAAGACCCTGTTGGACCTTCGAAACCCCTGTTACCTTGAGGTTACCTTGAGATGGTTTCAGGGCTTAGTGTCCCTGCGACCTGGTCCTCGACCAGGCCTCCTCATTGTTGGAATGGTCAATCAGGCTGTTGGACGCGGCTGCTCGCAGCCTGACATATGAATCACAGCCAGGTTGACCAGGTATCCTGATCAACACGTGCCCGAATATCAGCCCAAGACATGTTCCCCAAAACAGCAAACTTTCGAATATCATGGGCATTAGGGCAGACCACAGGCTGGCTAGACTTGATAACTTTGAGGACAACCTAAGAGACCTGAGGCCTGGAACAGGGAACGAGGGATATCGGATCAACCCAAAGCGCATCCCCGGACACAGAACCCGAGGCACGCAGGTAATGCCATAAAGCTGCAACCCCAGCCTGATCAACTAAGCATCAATAACGCACAGACCCCTCCAGAAGCCCGCTAACTCATTCTTCACCAGAAAAGAAGGAGACTGCTGCAAATAAACAAAACGACCCCCAGGACCAGGTGGCTCGTAGAGCCTCGAGCAAGCTCAAGCTTCTTCCCTTAATTAAGCAAAGGGAAAGAAGCCTGCGCCGCCGGCCTAGATCTTCCGAGAGGAGGAGGAGCCGCCCAACGCCACCACAGGTTGGAGGACACGACCCGAAATGCCCACGAATTGTGGGACCAAGTGTGGGCAAATAGAACCAGCCTCTCCCCCTAGCAAATGGGGACGACCTGTGAAAGGGCCGGTGCCCCTTCCAAGAAGCCGAATTACATGCAGAGCGAACACCGTGCTGACCAGACGAAGACGGATCCGGAGGAGGCACAAGCACAAAAGCTGGCATGAAGCACCCACCTCAACCAGCAGAGACCTGAACCCCTGGCATGACCTTTCTGAGAAGCGCAAGAATGTCCACCTCAGATCAACAACAAATCAGAAAAAGGTGGAAATTAGCAGAAGTCACCTGGTCCTGGGGCACGAACTGAAGGACTCTGGGGCGCGGACTGAACCAAGGTCGAAGCCCCCCAAGTCCAGGTCCCTAAAACCAAATCAGGGCAGCCCCTGGGGCATTCAAGCGGGCAACCAACCTAACGCATTGAAACAACCTAAAGCTAGCATGCAACGCAACAGCCGCTTGACCCCTATGAACTTTCGAAGAAGAATGGGTAAACTGGAGAATGAGCGGGGAACAAGTCTGTCTCACACAACTCGGGGTCGAAGGTGTCATCGACCCAACAAGCATCATGACGGAAGCAAAATGGAGGAGCGTCACCCTGTGACAAGGACAACCAACAACCTCGAACTCACACAAAGCAAGAGAGGACTTGGAAGACATATCCATAGTCACCTGAACCCTGCTGGGAGTTTCCAGGGCCTGCAGGGAGTTGTCCCTACAGAAATCCCAGGCACTGGTGCTGCAAAGCCGGTTGAACCCCATCTATTTACCCGGCAAACTGACCCCTGTGAAGGGAGCAACCTCGGGGGTGGAGTGGAGGCCTACCAAATGAGACCTAAGCATACCTAATGGGAAGTCAGGCAGCCCTCCACCAGGCAGGAAAGAACTGAAAAAAAATATAAGAAACCCCAAAAGTGCACCACAACAACAGGAGGCCAGAGAGAGAGAGAGATACGACCGCTGCTAATATGCAAGCTGTGCAGCACTGTGTACCCCAACCAGCAACAAACACTTGCTACCCAGGGCCAAACAAAAACACCATGACCCCCAATGACCCCAAGGGCGAGGCCGAAGCCAAGCGACAGCAACCCCTATGGAAGTGAAAAACCGAAAGTCCCTGGGAAGATAATCCTGAGACCCAAAGGAAGTACTTACAAGGCACCTAAGGAAGATAACCCTAAGTGCATACAGGGCAAAGTACCTGGCCAATGCCTCAACACACAGCAGATACAACCACCAGGGTAAAATCCTGACTGGAAATCGAGGCCAGAGTATAAGTCAGCCCCAGCCGGCTTCAGTCGACGAGTTGGTGAGCAGACGGCCGGCTCGGGTGGGTTGGGCCTTCCCCTCGGTTTGATGATGATTGGCTTGTTACCTTGTTTTTCTTGGAAGGAGTTCTTGGGCTCTATTCAGTCCTAGGTTGCAATTTTTTACCATACAGAGGGGTCTGTTTTGAGATGCCTACCTTTCTGGGTGCCTAACCCCAGTCGATAGCAGACATGAATATACTTTCAAAGAGTGGAGTTTTCATAGGCCATCGCTCTCTTCGCCTCTGAGGGAACCAGGTTCTAGCTCGTGGTTCCCAGTAGGCAGAACTCCACATGACTGAAGCCCCAGATTAATATAGCTAATATCAGTCCAATAGCTCCAGGGAGTTGATGGGGCTCCCCACAGAAAAGCTGAATGAATGTGCTAAAATGTCAACTGTCATCCTAAACATTATCAATCATGTATGTTGCTTTACTCATAAGCACACCCCTGTGTAGTAAAATTTAAGGTTTTTAATTATCCTAAAGAGCATGTAAGAAAATAAGTAACAATGCTCATGCATGCTATCTCTTAAGCACACAGTATAGTACAGTACGGTCCTGTACTTTTAATATAACAACTCCATTCTTACTTGTCTGGAACCTTTACACACTATTTCTTCAACTGACTGGAAAAAAATTCTGCTAAATGATTTATTATAGGGTTAGTGATGACAATGAGTCTATTAAGGACATAGCCTTGTAAAATTTATTGTTAATTAACCACTGTGCTGCGCCGAGTTTATTGTGAAATTCCCCCGGTGCATATGAAATAAAGTGTTCCCAAAAAATTATTTTTTCTTTGTCAAATAATAAATTCCCTTCCCTAAACATGTCTATGTAAAAATAAATACCAAATTCCACTTACTTCGGCTGTGGGGACGTGGACAAGGTGCAGTGTGACGTCATCAGGGCCTGGTTGCCCGTGCGTGAATCGCCCAGACACAGTCGTGCGGGCCATTCAAGCACCAGGTGTTGCCACAAATATATTTTCAATTATTTGTTTTATGTATTTCCAATGCGGTTTTATTTGTTTTTTTATCGTATATGATGCATATTTGTGTCCTTTACAATATGTATACAGTAAAACGTTCATAATGTTCCATGGAACTGTGATACATGTGTCAGTAATGTTTCCACAATAAATGTTTATTGTCGCAATATTACCTGTTAAAAATTTACTAAAATTACAATATGTACAGTTTCACACACTATTTACATAGTAACACACTGTATTACACACTCAGTACTTCGGAAGTGAGTAATAATCAACAAAGTAGTCCATGGTACACAGCGCGACTTCGCTCTCAGTGCACCAGGTACAGACAAATTTTCGCTTCCTGTTTCTTCATTCTGTGTGCTTGCAAATAACGCACTCACGTACAGCCTTGGCTTTAGTACTTGTAGGTTGTATGTAGCCAAGCTTGTAAAGCATAAGGTAGTATTGAAAAGATTATAGGAAAAGATCAATTTGTAAGGTAGTCTTGAAAAGATCACTTTGTATGGTCCCACACAGTAAGAGATTCAGCTTGCCTCAAAGAGTGTCCGTCAGTTAGGAAGAGATTCAGGTATTCTTGAAAATATTTATGGAAAACACCACCATGGAAGCCGCTAACACTGTTCATCTATGCTACTTATATCAGATGCATCATCACTGAATGCAGAAAACGATTTATCTATGTATCACCTAAATAAATTGGAGATAGCATAGGATTGCAAGGGTGACGCTCTGAGCTACAACTGGATACGCTCGCTGTATCGTCCTCATAGGTGCTGTATTACTTGCATCCGACCTTTGTGTTAGGTCCTTATTGCGCCTAGCTTCACCAATATTATGATTCTTATGTTCTTCAAACAATAAGGTTTGAATTTCACCGACAGAGCGTTATCTTTCAACACCGCATAGGACAGGTGTATGGGAGGCAGAGGCGCGTGCGCCACCCATGGTTGCTCATTCAGTACTAACCCAGCCAGCAGCCCTAGGGCATTCTGCGAATTGTTTCCAAGATGGCTGTCTCTCACTGGAGGTCCTAAGAGTCCATTTCGTATACAACCAAACTTGTACACATTTAGAATTGGTACCGAAAAATCAAAAAGAGTTTTCTCGGTTGGCGCAGTTTCCCGCCGACCGAGAATAATCGGTTGGCGCAATTAAGTGGTTAATGGGCAGCAGTACCAGAGCATGAACAAATAATTAACAAGTATTCCCTTTGATTAAAATTAGAGCGAGACAGAACACATCCATAAGGTAACAGGGACACCAGAATACTCGGTTAGGGCATTGGCAATTCCTCAATTTATTTTCCATTTGTGCTTGGAAGCATAAGCACAAATGGAAATTGTCTACCCTGTAGTAAGCTTCAGTCTAGAAACTGTTTCTATATGCAAACCTTATCTTTAAGTGCAAAGTCAGCTTGGCAAATAGGCTTGAATGTATAAGAAAAATGCCTTTCTGAGCAGGTCCCTTGGTTACTCTTCTGTTCTCTCCCTATCTACCTGGTATTCCTTGTCTGCACAGTGTCTTTGAATTAGAAATTCTGTGAGGAGACCTACAAAGGTGACAAAGCCCTGTTGTGTACATACATGTATGGTGCTGCTACCTGGTGGTGGCCAGAATAGGTGACTGGGTTACCAAACTACTGGCTAACAAATGCATTCCTTGGAAGGGCTTGGAAAACCAAATAAATCTTTTTAAATTAAGCATCTTGACATCTTGATTTAAATACTATTCATATAAATTACTTTAATTTTCTCATTTATAACTAACTAAAAACACCAACGACTGGTTTGGGAGATCGGTATCTGGACCCTCATATACCAGTCTGGCGGTCGATATTACCGAAGGTCGGTATTGAGTTTGTTTTGGCATCGGCAACCCCTCACGTGGCAACAGGCCACCGACCTCCAAGGCCTTGCGGGAGGAATGGGAGGCAGTGATTGATGGAGGGAGGCATTGAGGGGGAGAGTGTTGGGTGTGGTGGTGAGGGTGGTAGGGAGAGTATTGGTGGTGGTAGTGAGGGAGGGAGAGGAGTGGTTTTGAGGGAGGCAGGGAGAGGAGTGGTGTTGAGGGGGGCAGGGAGAGGGGTGGTGTTGAGGGAGGCAGGGAGAGGGGTGGTGTTGAGGGGGGCAGGGAGAGGAGTGGTGTTGAGGGGGGCAGGGAGAGGAGTGGTGTTGAGGGAGGCAGGGAGAGGGGTGGTGTTGAGGGAGGCAGGGAGAGTGGTGGTGTTGAGGGAGGCAGGGAGAGGGGTGGTGTTGAGGGAGGCAGGGAGAGGGGTGGTGTGGAGGGAGGCAGGGAGAGTGGTGGTGTTGAGGGAGGCAGGGAGAGTGGTGGTGTTGAAGGAGGCAGGGAGAGGGGTGGTGTTGAGGGAGGTAGGGAGAGGGGTGGTGTTGAGGGAGGCAGGGAGAGGAGTGGTGTTGAGGGAGGCAGGGAGAGTGGTGGTGTTGAGGGAGGCAGGGAGAGTGGTGGTGTTGAGGGAGGCAGGGAGAGTGGTGGTGTTGAGGGAGGCAGGGAGAGTGGTGGTGTTGAAGGAGGCAGGGAGAGGGGTGGTGTTGAGGGAGGCAGGGATAGGGGTGGTGTTGAGGGAGGTAGGGAGAGTGGTGGTGTTGAGGGAGGCAGGGAGAGTGGTGGTGTTGAAGGAGGCAGGGAGAGGGGTGGTGTTGAGGGAGGCAGGGAGAGGAGTGGTGGTAAGGAAGGCGGAGGGCAGATCTGCCCTCCGCCTGGTCAGCAATTCGAATTGCTGACCAAGGCGATGGTGCCAAACCTCTCACCCCATACTGTATTAAATTTTGTAATCTTAGTTGTAAAATATTTATGCCAAAATGTTAATTTTCGTATATAACTATACATTATTAATCAATAACATGTTTTATAGTTTCCTATTTGTTAATTAAACAAATATAGTTTTATTTATGAATTATGCACAGCTGGCATCTGCGAGCAGGCGCTGACAGATGTCTGGGTAGCCAGGCCTCGACCCCATTAGTAGCTCCTTCCTCCATCACCTGCTGTTCTCATGTTATGAGGAACGCAGTGAGGGAGGGGATGGAAGATAATGAGGGAGGGGATGGAAGATAATGAGGGAGGGGATGGAAGACATTGAGGGAGGGGATGGAAGATAATGAGGGAGGGGATGGAAGACATTGAGGGAGGGGATGGAAGATAATGAGGGATTGGATGGAAGGCATTGAGGGAGGGGATGGAAGATAATGAGGGAGGGGATGGAAGACATTGAGGGAGGGGAGGGAAGGAGGTGTTTGGTTTATATGGTTCACTTGTGTGTACCCCTAAACTTTGGCATCAGTCAGTGTGAATGGAGTTCTAGCCTTACCGGGGACCATGAGCCAGAATCTGGTTCCCGCAGAGAGGCACACGTTGTTTAGCATCCGGCCTGCTCATGCGCCACCTGAGCCGCCCTGGTCTTTGGACAGTACTCTCATTTCTATCTTTGGCTCGGTTTGTTGTGACCTCTTCGGTTCAGGATTGTTTTTCCAAAGCTCTTTTCTTGTTGGCATTGGCCTCTTGGGGTCGGGTTGGGGAGCTTCATGCTATCCTCCGGGGCAGGGGTTTCTGCTATTTTGGTCGTGGTGATAGGTTTGTTCGTTTGCAGCCATCGCCTCCTTTTCTGGTGAAGAATGAGACTGCTGCTTTCCGAAGGGGGTCCTTGGGTTGTTGATGCTTTGTTGGTCAGGCTGGGGGTGCATAGTGTGTTGTGTCCGGTTGCAGCTCTCCGCCGTTATTTGTGTGCCACGGCCTCTGTGGCTGAAGACGAGCTTGGGGTTGATCCAGTTTCCCTTCTTCCCTGTTCTCGGGTTTGGGTCTCTTAGGTCGTCTCGTGGTCTATCCCCATGCCCATGACATTCATAAGTTTGCTGTGCTTGCTGCCGTCTTCGGTAACATGTCCTGGGCTGACATTTGGGCACGGGTTTTTTGGCGGTCGAACAGGGTCCTGGCTGCACGCTACCTCCTGAATGTTCCTGGGTCTAGTCAGGCCTGTGTCGCTTTGGGTCGGCGGTTGCAGCCTGTTGTCTCGACTATGGGTTGAGATGTGAGCACCGGCTGCCTCCCTCATAAGTCCCTCTGTTTTCATCTTCGTTGAAGTAGCTCCAGGGAGCCGAAGGGGCTCCCCCCAGAAAACCAGAGTTGAATGTAATGAAACGCCATTTTCTGGGCGAGTTCTGGAGATTCCCCGGCAACCTCTCCGGCTCCCTCCAGTTGGCATTTTTTTTCACGTGTTTTTGACATCCAGCCTCAGAACTGCAGGGTGGATCGCCGACGCTCAGATCTGGCTTCTGGAAGGCTTCCCCTTCCCCCCTCCTGGGGAGAGGGGGAGCTGTGCAGACATACAGCGTGGCTCGTGTGATGTCTTGCTCGTTTTCATTTGGGGAGTTCTGTACACTGTCTACATGTCGTTTGTCTACATGTCCATATCGTTTAGTTCTTTTCACCAGAATAGGAATTTGGTTTCAGGCGCTTACTTTTCTGGGTGACTCTCCCGGTCGATGGAAGATATAGAATACTCCAAATCCCATGTGCAATTCTATAGACCATTGCTCCTTGTCCTCTCTGAGGGGGGCCAGGTTCTGGCTTGTGGTCCCCGGTAGGCCTAGAACTCCATTCACACTGACTGATGCCAAAGTTAAGAGATACAGTATACATATCAGCCTGGATAACTCCGGGGAGCCGAAGGGGTGCCCCCCCAGAAACTAACTACTGTAGACACTCGATTATCCGGGATTCGAATATCCAGAAAACGCCCTTATACGGCCAAAATCATGACCGGATGAAGTTATGTCAATATCCGGCCAAAATGTCCATAGGAGCCGAAAAATCGGGTGTTTGACCGGATAAAGAATCTGGGCCGGTAAACTTGCTGCTAATGTTGCAACTATCTGGACAGTCAGCCGGACAAGCAGAGAATTGTCCGGATACGAAAGCCAGGCGGCGGGCCGAACCGTATTAATCCCGTAAGGTGTGGCTCTAGGCGCATAGTGTAGGAGGGGGGTGGGGTGGGTGGGTGGTGTCAGGAGAGAGGGGAGCATTGGGTGGGGCCACCTGAGGGGATAAGGGGAATGTGGAGGGGCCTATACACTACTGTACATGAATTACCATTAATTTTAGAATAATTCATCATAGCCAAAAACAAAAGAAATACTAGTAATTATGTAATAACAAATATATAAGTTTCCTAAAAACAATTTGCACAGGCTGAAGTTTCCTTAAAAAATATTGTGAGTTTTCCTCCTTGCGGCCTACATAATGTGCCTCCTTCCTGGACCCGTCTAGGCCTGGTCAAGCCATGTACTCCCGTCCCTCATGTTATACCACAGTGCTGCGCCATTAGTCAAATATTTTTTAAATAACTTTTTTATTTTCATAGTAACTTTGAACATTTTTGGCCAAGACTATGTCTGGTAGCAGCATCAATCGTTCTGGAGGTCTTAAGAGGAAGAAGGTTGTCCTAACAATTAAAGGTAAGTTACGTGTTATACAACTTTGTGAAAATGGCCGGTCAACTTCAAGTGTTGCCAAGGAATATAATATAGGCACTAGTACTGTTTTTGATATAAGGAAACAAAAGAGAAATATCTGAAATACATTTCAACCAATGAGAGCGAAGGTGCAAGCACCAGCAGAGGATGTGGTAGAAAAACTTTGAAGCGTCACCAGTGAGGCGTCACAGGCAACAAGGCAAGGCTCAAGCAACCCGCCTTCAACCAGTGAGGCTTCAGCAGCTGGCAGTCAAAACTAACTTTGCTTAATAAGCTGTACAGTAATTTTAAGTGTTAATTTAATGTTGTGTTAGTATAGGTTATGTAAATTGTCAAGAATTCTTAACTTCAAGATGTGTGGCATCTATCAAGACGAAGAAAAAGAAGATAAGTTGAGGTTTCTAGTTGAATATTTAATAAGTATATGTGGCAAGGCAATTCAAATTATGTTGTTTGTAGTATAAAAATAGTTGGAAATGGTCACTTTTGGACTCAGAGGTGAAAAAGTACTATTATCCGGAACACGTGATTATCCGGCTGGGGGTCCTTTCCAAATAGTCCGGACAATCGAGTGGAGACAGTACATACAGTACCATATATAATAATTAAACAAAATAGAGGCATGACATAGTCTTAATTTAGAGTTGACAAAAACACCGATTAAGAGAGCTCAAACTGACGTACTGTACAAAAATTTATCACAAAACAGGAAAAAATGACAAATCATACAAGTACAATTTATTTAAGAAGATGTGAAGAATAGCCTTTATTGATATACAGTATATAGCTATCTGCATTTACCTTGCAATATCTTGAATAAGAGTGAGGGCTTGTTTTTCCGTAAGAAAACTAGTATTTGCTTGTGGATTGTAGTCTGTGTCACAATTTTCTTTCAGGCTTACAAGACGACAATGAACATACTGTAGCTTAACTCCTGTATCTCCACGACTCTGCAATCAAAACATGCTAGTTCAAACACAAAGTTACACTTTATATTTTAATAATATGATAAAACAATGAGAGAATAGTCTAATCATCTAAGTTTAATTCATATATAGCTCTATCTCTAAGCTGTTTCAACATAGTTCTACAGGGACAAGCAAGTGGTTTTATCATCCATGATATGAGACTAAATGAATCTGATTTTCAGCCACACACACATTAAAATATACTGTATTTCAATGCCTATATTGTGACCTGTAGAAGGTAAGTGACCTTGACATCTATTTATCCAATGGTGCAAGCCGTACTGCATCGTTGTATGCCAGTCAGGCATAACCAACATTCGAGTATAGGTGTGTCTTCACAGCATAGTGTGTATATGGCATATATTTGTGAAGTGAATGAATCAAATTCTGTGTTAAACTTACTTTTAAATGCTTTCTTGAAATATCCTTATGCTAATAAAGTACTGGTATAAGTGGTAACAGCGTACCAGGCTTATCAATACTGTAATAGGTGGGCTCAACAGTACAATCTATGACAGAAAAAAAAACAGCATTCCATAAGCTAAGATTAAATTTAAAAGAACATGTCATAATAATGTTAAACACAGCACATACTGTGGCTGTAGTTATACATCAGTATTGAAATTCTCTCTCTCTCCTAAAAATGAATCATAACATTAAAAAGCCAGCACTGAATGTAATGAAACGCCATTTTCTGGGTGAGCCTCAGAGGCTCTCTGGAGCTATCGGCCAAATATGTGAATCATTAGACCGGGGCATTAGTCTATGGTGTTCAGCCTACCGGGGACCACAAGCCAGAACTTGGCTCCCTCAAAGAGGCATTGGGAGCAGTGGCCCTGGAAACCCCCCCCACCCTCTGTTGGGGATTTTCCTTATCTGCCATCAACTGGGGTTAGGTATTCAGAAAGGTAGGCATAATAAAACAGACAACACAGGGTAAGAAAATTGCAAATGAAAACCGAACAGAGAGGCAGAACTCTCTCCGATCCAAACGAAACAAGCAAAGAAGCAAACGTCACATTACATCGCCGCATCACTCATCCGCGCAACCACCAACGGTGCCAGTGACCCAGCCACTCCAGTTTAGAGGCTAAGTATCAACCACGCGAAAAACCCCGACCGGAGGGAGGGAAGGTTGTTAAGGACCCTCCGGGGCTCACCCAGAAAATGGAATTTCATAACTTTAATGCTGGTTTTCTGTGGGAAGCCCGTTCAGCTCCCGGGAGCTACATATTCAAAGATAAGGAAAAGAGGGGACTTACCCGGGAGGCGGCCGCCACACACTCCTAAACGCGAAGCCGAGAGAACGGGATGCAACTTCCAACCCAAAGCAACACAAGAACACCCAGGCCCAGGAACGTTAACCAAATAACGGGTGGCCAGGACCCTGTTCAACCTCCAAAATCCCCATGCCCCAATATCAGCCCAAGACATGTTGCCCAAGATGGCAGCCAAAGCAGCAAACTTTCGAACGTCATGGACACGAGGATAGACCACAGACTGGCTATACTTAATAACCCTGTGAATGACCTGGGAGACCTGAGCTCTTGAACAGGAAATATGGAAAACTGGATCAACCCAAAATGCAACTCCAGCCACAGAAGCTGAGGTGCGCAGGTAACAGTGAAGAGCCGCAACCGGACACAAGACATGATGCACCCCCCGCCTGACCAACCAAGCATCAATGACCCAAGGACCCCTCCGGAAAGCAGCTGTCTCGTCCTTCGCCAGGAAAGAAGGAGAAGGCTGTAACCGTACAAACCAATGACCAGGACCAAAAGAGCAGAAACCCCTGTACCAGAGATCATGGAGCTCACCAACCTGACCCTAAGGGGCCAACAGCCAACACAAAGAGAGCCTTGGGAAAACCATCTTGATCTGAGGAGGCCACCATGAACAGGAGGAGGAGAGATATATGAGAGCACCCTGTCCAAAGACCAGGACAGCTAAGGCGGCGCATGAGCAGGCCGCAGGTGAAACAAAGCATGAGAAAACTTGCGGAAAGAGGCAGAAGTGACATCTACCCCAAACGCAAGCTAGAGCGGCTCTGCTAGTGGCACACGATACAAGACTACAGTATCCAGCATCAAATGACAGTCCTGAAAAAGCCAAGAAAAAAAGGACAAGACAACCCGATCAGAAAAAGAAGACAACCTACAAAGAGAGAGAATATGGCACAAAGAACACCAAGAAACTTCATACTGTCACCAAGACGAAGCTCTCAGGTGGGACACCATCAACGAAGCCACCTGATCACCACAGAGATGGTGATAAACCCTCATCAAAAAGACCAGATGCAAAGAGCGAAGGAGAAAACCGAACCAACCTTGTACAGAACCGGTCCGATTTGCTGGAAGAGGCAGAGCCGCGGAAAATGCTCTGGGTTTGGACACCAGGCAAGCAGCACCAGAAATCATAGCTGGGCTGGCCATCTAGAGGCCATGAGGACTATTCTCCTCTGACTTCAACAAAGCCAGAATCTGAAGCAACAGCTGGATAGGGGAAAAGAAGTACAGGTAACCCCACTGGTCAAAGTGGGAAGGCGTCCACCCTGGACGCTTAAAATGCCCTGGGTTCGGACACCAGGCAATCAGCACTGAAATCAAGGCTAGGCTGGCCACCAAGGGGCCACGAGGACTACTCTTTTGGTAAGCATTCAACAAAGCCAGAACCCGAAGCAACAGCTGGAAAGGGGGGGGGGGAAGAGGTATAGGTAACCCCACTGGTCAAGGTGGGAAGGCGTCCACCGTGCCTTCCGGTGGAAAAAAACCAGCGTTGAATGTAATGAAACGCCATTTTCTGGGTGAGTCCCGGAGGCTCCCCGGAGGTATCCCAGGCTGATATGCTAATGTCAGACTTTGGCATCAGCCATGTGTATGGAGTTCTTAGGCCTACCGGGGACCACGGCCAGAACCGGGCCCCCTCAGAGAGGCAAGGGGAGCAATGGCCTATAGAAGCTCCCGTGTGGTTGGAAGCATTCTATGTCTGCCATCGACCGAAACAGGCACCCAGAAAGGTAAGCGCCTCAAAACAAACCCCTATTCTGGTTAAAATTGCTACCAAAAGCCGAACTAGTGGATAGAACTCCCCAACCGAAAACAAGCAAACTAGTGTGATGTCACACACCGCCGCGCCGCTGTCTGCGCAGCTCCCCCCCTCCCCGGGAGGGGGAAGGGGGAGCCCCAGACCCCCCACGCCGGCTACCCACACCTCAGTTCTTGAGGCTGGATGTCAAAAACGCGAAAAACTGCCGACCGGAGGGAGGGAGGGATGCCGGGGAGCCTCCGGGACTCACCCAGAAAATTGCGTTTCATTACATTCAACGCTGGTTTTCTGGGGGGAGCCCCGTCGGCTCCCCGGAGCTAACTACCCAGACAGAAAAAAGAGGGACTTACCCGGGAGGCGGTCGTCGCTCACTCCTCAACTCGAAGCCGAGACAACTGGCTGCAACCGCCGACCCAAAGCAACACAGGCCCGACGGGGCCCAGGGACATTCACAAGGTAACGAGCAGCCAGGACCCTGTTCAACCGCCAAAATCACCGCGCTCGAATATCAGACCAAGACATATTTCCAAAGACAGCAGCAAGAGCCGCGAACTTACGAACGTCATGGGCACGGGGATAGAACGCAGGCTGGCTGGACTTAATAACCCTGCGGACGACCTAGGAGACCCAAACCCGTGAACAGGGAAGAAGGGAAACCGGATCAACCCACAGCGCGTCCCCAGACACAGAAGCTGTGGCGTGCAAATAACGGCGAAGCGCCGCAACCGGACACAAAACATGATGCACCCCCGGCCTGACCAACCAAGCATCAACCACCCATGAACCCCTCCGGAACGCAGCAGTCTCATTCTTCTCCAGAAAAGAAGGAGACGGCTGCAAACGAACAAAACAATCACCACGACCAAAAGAGCAGAAACCCCTGTGCCGGAGGAGAGCATGAAGCTCCCCTACCCGACCCCCAGAGGCCAAAGCCAACAAGAAAAGTGCCTTGGAAAAACAATCCTGGACCGAAGGGGCCACAACGAAACGAGGAGACGAAAGGAAAGCGAGCACTCTGTCCAAAGACCAGGATAGCTCAGGCGACGCATGAGCAGGCCGGAGGTGAAACAATGCACGAGACAGCTTGCGCACGGCGTAGACGTAACATCGATACCGAAAGCAAGCTGAAGCGGCTCCGCCAGCGCCGCACGATACGAAGCGACAGTGTTAGGCATAAGATGACGGTCCTGAAACAACCACGAGAGGAAGGACAAGACCACCCGAACAGACAAGGAACTAACACGATGAAGACGCAAAAAGAAACGGAAGGACCACCGGGAAACTTCATACTGTCGCCGAGAAGCCCTCAGGTGGGACACCAACAAGGAGGCCACCTGATCACCATAGAGATGATGATAGACTCGAGTCAAAAAAACCATACGCGAAGACTCGAGGAGAAGATCGAACCAGCCACGTGACGTACCGGCCACCGAGGACACCGAGCAACCAGCGCCTGAAACCAAGGCTGGGCCAGCCACCAAGGGGCCAGAAGGACAACTCTCCCCTGGTAAGTCTCTAAGCGAGTCAGGACCTGGAGCAACAGCCGAACCGGGGGAAAGAGGTACAGGAACCCCCACCTCGACCAGTCTAGCCGAAAGGCATCGACCCCGACGGCCTCGCGATCGGGGAAGGGCGCCGCATAAACGGGAAGACGCCGCGACCACGCCAACGCGAAGAGGTCCACCTCGGGGCGCCCGAACGTCTGGCAAAGTCAACGGAAGGACTCGTCGTCGACCGTCCACTCCATGGAGAGGGGAACGAAGCGAGACAGGGCGTCGGCCAAGATGTTGGACACGCCCCGTACGTGAACCGCCAGGAGAGCCAAACCCCGAGAACTCAGCAGACGAGTCACCCGAAGCGACCAACCCCAAAGAGACAAGGACCGCATCGAACCCCCGCGGTTCAGGCAATGAACCACCGGAGAGCAGTCCGAATGG